GTATTAATTGAACTTTGCAGCATCCAGTGATAAGTACAAAGGTCTGACATCTCTGAGAGATGCAGAGATAAAGAGATGAAATTGCTTCCCAGTGGGAACAGAGAGAGAGAGTAAATCATGGTCGAAGGCATGCACTCCGCATACAAGGCCTTGCAAGAAATAATTCCGTAGTAGGAAATATTTTTAGCTCATTTTTTGTATATAGGAACTTGCTGATGAAGATGTGACTCTTTCTCACCAAAATAGTTTGAAATATAGTTACTCTAACCTATTGTTCCATTGATACGAAAAGATGCTAAAAAGAAGGGTTATGTGATTTAAAAGTTTCCTCCAAGTTCCCCATTGAGTATCAGCTCAACTTTCCTTGACGCACAGACCAACTGACCTTCAAATGCTTCTTGCTTCCAACGAATCATAACCAAACATTCTGTTTCCGTGCTAACATATTTTTAATGAAGGAAATAAAAATGAAAAAATAAATTGGATAATTCTCGAATACAATCTCTTTGTTTGTCTAAAAACAACACCATTTCCATCATGGAAGGGACAATTCAAGAATTTAAACAGCTCTGGAAGTTTTCAGTTTAGGAGGAGAAACTGTCAAAGTTAATCAATTACAAATCGGTGTATAAGGAATTCTTTCTCCTGTAAAACCTCAACAAAGACGACCAGCTGAGGGCAGACCTGGTTCCAGGCGATATACAGAAGTGCTTGAGTAGCTGACCCTTACGATTGAAGTACTGGATTGTAAATTGTGTATCCAACCATTGAGTAGCACCCATAATTTTCACCCTATGACTATCCTACCATAAAAATGTCCTTTGCAACACTGCCTTTTAAGGGGAATACCTAAAAATAATGCAGAAAAGACAGCTAGGTCTAGCTGGTATAGTTTCAGAGTAGTTTTTATATGCCTATTCCTGAACTGCTGAGGTTGTGTATCATCAACTAAGGCTCTATGATTATGGGACGCTCTGGGGATTCTAAGTGCTTTACGTAGAATTTAAGCTGCCATATCGTTTTCTGAAGCTGAAAGAAGGGATTGTGCTATCAGACTTCCAGAGCAGGCAGTCTGACTGAGTGACAACAAAATGCTCTGGGAATATCAGTGGTGCTGGGGATGACTAGTGACAACCAAATAGTCCTTGTACAGCTATTTGGTAATTTGTCCACTACTGTGACTTGTGATAAACTCCACGTTCTTTTATTAGGTGCACTATCTGAATTAGCCTCTCTCAGAAATTGTTTTCTCAGACTGGGAATGAGATGATGTTTCAGAAATTGCCTCTGATATCTAATAACTTTGTGTAGATAATAAAGAAGGAGCTATCTGATTATCTTCAGTGCTTAGTGTGAAAATATCTTTCTGCAGGAGTCTTCCTTTCTATATTTAGGCATTCATGCTGTCAAAAAGAAAACAGCAGCAGCTGATGGTGATGGCCCAGATCTACAGCCCTTGCTAAGTTTTCTGCCTTTCTCTTCAAGGGCACAAAGAGCCCTAGAAGATAATTCCGTCAAGCAGCTGAATGGATAGTGTAGATCCTCAGTCATACGACCAATTTTCCCACTTCTCCTCTAGAAGTACTAGTAGGTAATTAGTACTAGTAGAAGTACTAATAGGTACTAGTCCACTTTCCTAGGTGGTTGCATTGAGTTCTGTTTTCTTCTGTCTTGCCTTGTGGACCAGTGTAATTCCTCTTTATCTCGTCTTTATCTCCTGTGGAGAAGAGCAGAGCTGATTTATATCCAGATGTGCCATTCGTCTATTCACATCTGTGGACATTCAAGAAAAAAAAATCAAAGGCATGAGATTTCAGGCAGATGTGGTCATTAGGTTGCATAGATTGTGGCCTGTTGCAGAGCTGGAGTCTCTTTGACAAAAATCATTCAAACAACAGGTGAAAATAAAGCCTTTGATTAGTATCTTGCACTTTTGTCCTATGAAGAAAATAGATATATTGTGATAGTATCAACTAAACTCAGTGCCAGCCCTGAACTAAATTTAAAAAAATGTTGTAGGTCTCAAATTTGAATAACTGTCATTACAATTAGATAATGTTGGACTCTGAGTAGGAAACCATTGTTTCTAACAAGGCTAGGTGTTCCTCAGTGAATAGCCAGCTTTTGGGGTAGAATGACTGCAGAGAAATCTTGCGGATTTGACTCTGAATATTCTAGGAGTTCAGGTCCTGCTTGCAGAAATCTACGTTGGGAAGCAGAGAAGAGTTATTTCAGTATATTAAACCTGTATTTTTAAAACACAGGATATTTACTGCTAGCACTGCAGAGATGAAAGGAGAAAAGCTTCTCTGTAGAGGTCTCCGCAAATTTTTACATGATTTAAACAAGATTACACTATTTGATTATAAAACTGAAAAACTGGAAAATAGATCATGGCACTCAAACCACAGGCTAAACAAAGACTACCACAGAAATTAAAATGCAGAAACACTGTTGGATTTATAGCCCACTGATTATTGAAAAGCTGGGAACAAAATACCTTCACATTTCAATGAACTATTGGGAGCCCACACAGACTCCCTCAGCCAAAACCCAAGAAAAATATGCATTAAAGGAAATGCCGTTACATGTGCTTGGAAACCTGGAAAATTCACCTGGCGACAAGATGCATTCATTCATTCATTCATGTACTTACCAGAAATCAGCTTTAGAGCCATTAAATAAACAACCTATTACAAAACCCAGTGAGAAGCTAACAGCTGACAAGGTTCTCCCCACAGATGTTTCTGAGGTTCAGATAAGACTGATTGAAAGTATAAATATCTTGGGAGGGGGAGAAGATGCGGACTACTTTCTTATATCCAACTGTGCTCAGCATTTACCATGACACCAAAACTGTTGTTTTCAACTCTTTAAGGGACTGAATGCCCATGGCTTAATTAACTGGAAACAAAAAGAAAATGTATAGAGTTATTTTCTTTATTTTACAACTCTAACTTGTTTCAAGGAAGGTAATTGGTGAAGAGGCCCTAAACGATTAGATATAGCCAGGCAGAGACTTCTTGCTATGGGTGAAAACTCCAAATGGCAAAAGGCAATACAGTCAGGTCTGTGACCTTGTATCATGTGTTTTGGCATGACTGGAGGAAAGTGAGTATGGCTTCATTGCTCCTGAGATCCTGCTTCTCTTTTTGACCCCAGCCAGCTGGGTCAGGTTAAACTCACACGTACTTTTGATGGATAGTGACAGATTTGATTTTGTTTATTCTTGAAGCTGGATTTGCTCTGGGCAATCTCAATGTAATTAATAAACCTATTTTATGAAATACAATACCACTACATAAGAGGCGGGGGCAAACTGACACCCTGCTTCTACCTGTGAGAGCTTCCCATTGTCACTTATCATTGTCACTGTTAATCATACTTTTCAGCAGAAGATCTGGAGATAGTCTTCAATTTGAAATGTTCATTTCTGCACAGTTGGTAGGACTACAGTGTTTTAAGTGAGCCAAATGATAGATTGTGGATAATGATCATTACGAATTTGGTTCCTTTTCTGGCTACATGACTTTGTAAAAACTGACACTGATTTTCAGTAAAATGTTTATTTGGGCCGGGTCCTCAGCTGATCTCTATCAACAGAGCTCCTTGAAGTTGATGATGACAAGCTGATTTATATCAACTGGGGATCCTGGCTTAAGAAATTTTAGATATTATATACTTGCAACTTGTTTCATTTGGGACTCCACAGTCTCTTCCAAATGCGTCTGAACTATGTTTTACCATCTTTTATATCCATCTGTTTTCTTTTTTCTAGGCTTTTGAAAAAGGAAGAAAACTTTATTTTTATCCCTCGTTCCCGTGAAGAGCTTCCAGAAAACTTTCCAAAGGAAATTCCTGGGATCTGTTACTTCCTTGAGGTCAGAAGTGGTCAGAAGCAGCCAAAACCCTCCATCACATCTGCCAGAGTGAGAAAGGTTTCTTATAACATTGGCACCATGTTCCTCCGGGAGACTAGCCTATGAGGCCTGCTGCAGATCAAAGACTCGTCAAAAAAGCACAAGCCCAGAACTGGGTCATGACAGGGGAGTAGGAGGTTCTTTCTATTTCACTGCCTTGTTCTGAACAAGCAGTAAAAGCTCCGTGTAATGTCAGGCAATAATCATTTAAAAAGTGCGTGACTGCTGCCAGTAAACAAAGTGGAGATAGGGAAAAAGTAATTACATAATGTACTTCCACTTCCAGAGGAATTTTGTTCATAAATTTCAGTCTGGTCCCTTTATAACAAACAGAAAAAACCAAAACAAACAAAAAACAACCCTAAATGTAGAGGTTGGTTTTGTTTTGTTCAGAAATGGTGATGGTTCTCTGTAGATTTGCACCAGCTAAGCAGAATTGAGAGTCAGTTCTGATTATGCATTCCTACATTTAATGTGTTCTTCAGTAACTTAATGATGTTTTTTAACTTTATGAACAAACATTTCATACATGTACTGTAGAGTTGCTGTAACCTTCCTGGCAGGAGGAATTATAATTCAGTACAAATATTATAGGGATTTTACCTATTTTTATACATATTTCACTTTCTGGATAATTACATTCCACATACTGTAAGCTGAGTGAGCTTAGCTAGCTTTTCAGAAAGCTCCTGTATATTTCATATATTCAACCTATCAAAGCTTATTGTTATACAAGTGGGAAGAAGTCTTTTTTTGACTTTTTTGGCAACAACAATATTGATATTTTACAAAAGAAAACACTTTGGTTAATCTCTTTACCTGATGTTTATGGTAAAGCTTTAGATGAGCATTATCTTGCTTATATAAAGTAATGTTCAGTATTTGTTCTTCAATGCTGTGTTTCCAGTCTTTGCAGGACAATGCAAACAAAGGATAAGATAGTGTATTGACCAAAAAAAAAAAAAAAAGTTCCCCTTTACACAGTCGGGCTTGTTTCGCACCAAATTATCAGCCAAATTAATTTTTGATAGAAGCCCTGCACCTAGACTTTTATGAAAAATTTGATGGTGTGAAGAGTTCTTTAGAGAGATTCCAGCAGGCATCGGAAACTCTCTGGATACTGGTTTTCTCCAGTTTTTAACGGTACTTATGCTCCAACCCCACTTAGGAGGTTTTTGAAAATCCTATCTGTTATTAATGATGCTCATCTGGAAGTTTCCTTTGTTGCTGGACTGGCTGAAAGGCCCGCTGCTTTTTCTAATGTAGACCAGAAACTGCTGAAAAGAGGGGAGCAGAGGGAGAAAATACTTTCCCAGGTTTACTGCAAATGGCAATTCAAGGTTTAGATGAGTTCATGTAAATAAAAATAAAAGGCCAATTCTTTGCTGGTGGAAATCCATATAATTTTATTGTCTTCAATGATTCCAATTGGAACAAGATGTGGATCTGTCCCGCGGCAGGAACATTTTCAGGCACTGTTCATGTCTCAGTTTTTTTATTTTAAAAAATAATGATGGTCAATTTTAGTCTGCAAACATACTTCCCTTGGGGTCCTATTTCAGCAAGCCAATATTGTTCTGCTCTTGCATTAAGCAGCATATTAGTTAAAATTTGAGCAGTGATTCTGAAGCAGCATAGCTTTAAATGGACCTGATCAAAGCTCACTGAAATCAAAGATAAGATTCTCAACAATGAGAAGCTCAGTATTTTTATAATCCAGATGAGAAATTAGAGGTGTACTTATGGATTTAGGAGTACTTGAGGTACCTTAGGAGTACTTGAGGTACCTTTTAAAATTAAGTAAATAACATTCACCAGGTGTCCACATTATCCAATTAGATCTTTCTGTGGAGGGAATGACAGTGCTGTAATTCTCTCTTTTGGCAGTATTCTGTGTAAAGGTGGGGATGAGCAAGCATAGCATTCCTGAAAGTGTCTCAGGCTTCTTTGCCATGAAGCCTGACTGCATGAGAGAGGACCATCTCGAACCCACAGAGACTTCAGCATGTAGACTAACTCTGAACTCATCATGCAGTTTTTCTTGACCAAAATGGGTAGCTGTGTGGGTAGCCTAGAATATTACTTAAATGGGAATTCCCTCGCTTTATAGGGGAACACTAATCTTAACGATTCTCCTCATGGAGCACCTCCAGGACTGAAGGTTTTCATCTTCCGTTTGCCTTGCTAAAAGCTTTTGCAGTTCCATTGCCTAGCTGAAAACTGCCTTGATGAAGACTCTTTGAGCTTGAGGTGGAAGAATTTCTATCCAAACTGATGATCTGAGATTTTTCTGTGTAGGAGGACAAGTTTTACACTTACTACACATTAGTTTCACAGAATCACAGAATGGCCAAAGTTGGAAGGGACCTCTGGACATCATCTAGTCCAACCCCCCTGCTCAAGTAGGGTCATCTAGAACACGTTACCCAGGATCGTGTCCAGGCGGGTTTTGAGTATCTCCAGGGAAGGAGACTCCACAACCTCTCTGGGAAACCTGTGCCAGTGCTCTGTCACCCTCACAGTCAAGAAGTTTTTCCTCAGGTTCAGCTGGAACTTCCTGTGTTTCAGTTTGTACCCGTTGCCTCTTGTCCTGTCACTGGGCACCATGGAGAAGAGTCTGGCCCCATCCTCTTGACATCCTCCCTTCAGATACTTGTACACATTGATGAGATCTCCCCTCAGTCTTCTCTTCTCCAGGCTGAACAGTCCCAGCTCTCTCAGCCTCTCCTTATATGAGAGATGCTCCAGTCCCCTCATCATCTTTGTAGCCCTCCGCTGGACTCTCTCCAGGAGTGCCATGTCTCTCTTGTACTGGGGAGCCCAG